TCAAGAACAGAAACTACAAAAGTCAAGTACAGGTGTTCATTTACTTGGTCCTTAACCCCAATGCATTATGAGTTTGTTCAGTGTTTTTATCATGTTAGCTTGGATCTGAAAGCAGAGGCCAGCATGTGTTTCAAGCCCTATAACACAAGTGTCCTTTCTCACTCTGAGCCTCTTATTTTAGGATTCTTTTTTGGTTATATTTTGCTAGACATTGACAAACTCAATTATAATCAGCTTTTCCTGTATCTTCCACTGCTATGAAAAAAAAATCACCCTAAGATTGCTTACAAAGCATTTACCTTCACCAGTGAGTTAAAAATGCTGAAGGAAATTGGACATGAATTGAAGAGATCACTGTGGCAGGAAACTGCAGCTGTCAGCTTTGCTTTTGGACACAACATTTAATGTTTGGTCTCCCTCAGTTCAGGGTGAGACTTGATATGGAGCAGATTTTATGATATTTATCTACAGTGTCTCGTTCACTGGTTTTGAGAAGAGGATACTCAGCTGGGTTGAAAGCAACTAGGCTGGCCTGGCCCAGTACAGGAGCTGGAGGGTTTGGGTTTTTTGTAATGGGGGAAGGGGTTGGAAGTCTCAGGTCTGTTCCTCTGTTGAATCTAGATTGCTTTTGGCACTATGGAAGGTGTCTGGAAAAACAGTACTTCAGAGGAAGAAACAGTTTTCAGTCACATTTCTTAATGTGATTTAAAATATTAGGTTTTAGAGAGTTGGGGTTGTTCAGCCTGGAGAAGAGAAGGCTCCAGGGAGACCTTAGAGCACCTTCCAGTGCCTGAAGGGGCTCCAGGAAAGCTGGGGAGGGACTTGGGACAAGGGCAGGGAGGGAGAGGACAAGGAGGAATGGATGAAAATTGGAGGAGGGGAGATTGAGGTGAGACATGAGGAGGGAATTGTGGAGTGTGAGGGTGGTGAGAGCCTGGCCCAGGTTGCCCAGGGAAGCTGTGGCTGCCCCATCCCTGGCAGTGTTGAAGGGCAGGTTGGATGGGGCTTGGAGCAACCTGGGCTGGTGGGAGGTGTCCCTGCCCATGCAGGGGGTTGGAACTGGATGATCTTGACGGTCCCTTCCAATCCAAACCAGTCTGTGATTCTATGAAAACCAGCTATGGGTGGAGGAAAGATACAAGGTCTGTGTGTGACCAGTCTGTAGCAATGATGTATATCAATGATTTTGGAGGTGTTAACTTGTTAGGAGCATTCTGGCTTCTTTTAATATGGTGGTGTTCCTAGTTTCTTTGCCACAAGGTATCTTGTAGAGAAGAGAATGTTTAGAAATTATCATCATGCCAGAAGTTGGGGATTTAGCCTAATTCAACAAAACATCTACCACACACTTTCCATGCTGCCTTCTTTTTATTTCATTGAAGTTAGTGGGATGGACATTTATTGATGAGTGTATGAATGGGTAGAATGACTAAAAGCTAGTAACAACCAAATCTTAATGTTGAGACTTCACTGTAAATGCAATTAATCCCTTGGTAATAAATCTGACAATCTTTGGAATGAGATAATACTACCTATTTGATAGGTCAGGCAGTTTATGCAAGACTGGGTATGTGACAAATTGCTTAAGCCTCTGTGGCTCATGGGATGGGGTCTTAATTTACCACATCTAAATTTAATGGATAATTAAAACTAATTAAATCTTATGCAAACCAGCATACCCTTTTTAGCTGTTTGTTATTATCTAAAAAATCCAGGGAAAAAATGGTGCAGACACCACAACTATTTGATATTAAACTGGGGACTCTGACCTTTGCTTTGCTCTAGCAAACTTTGTGTTTAGACAAACACTTGAGATTTTAGTGTCAAATTCTGCTTCTAAATGCATAAATGGTTCTTGTTAAACTTAGAGGTAGCTGTATATTGGCACAGTGGGGATTACAGAATTTGGCTGAAATTTAAAAATACTTGGGTTAAAAGCATTGAGAGTTGCCCTAGCATGAAGAATGTTGTGTTCTTTCTAAGGAACTGAATTGGCATCCAGTGTTGCAGTCCATGTTGAATCTTGTTTCTTTTATTTAAGGTTTTGCTTTGATGCCTCTTAGTGAGATTTCATAGAATCACAGAACCTGCTGAGTTGGAAGGGACCCCTCAGGACCATGAGTCCAACTCCTGTCTCTGTGCAGGGCACCCCAAGAATCACCCCATGTGCCTGAGAGCATCACCCAAAGGCTTCCTGAGCTCAGGCAGGCTTGGTGCTGTGACCACATCCCTGGGGAGCTGGTTCCAGTGCTCAGCCACCCTCTGGGTAAAAACCCTTGTCCTGATACCCAACCTCAGCCTCCCCTGATCCAGCTTCCTGCCATTTCCCCCAGCCCTGTCACTGGTCACAGGAGTGGAGAGCTCAGACCCTGCCCCATCTCTTCCCTCCTGAGGAACCTCAGACTGCAGTGAGCTCACCCCTCAGCCTCCTCTGCTCCAGGCTGAACAATCCCAGTGACCTCAACTGCTCCTCATATGTCACCCCATCCAGACCCTTCCCCACCCTCGTGGCTCTTCTTTGGACACTCTCCAATAGCTCAATGTCCTTGTGATGTTGTGGTGCCCAGAACTGCAGGCAGTGCTCCAGGTGTGGCCGCACCAGAGCAGAGCGGGACAATGCCCTCCCTGGTCTGGCTGGCAAGGCTCAGCTTGGTGCACCCCAGGACAGGGGTGGCCCTCCTGGCTGCCAGGACACACTGTTGGCTCATCTGCAGTTGCCATCAACCAGGGCCTCAGGTGGTTACTGCCTATCTCTCTTAACTTGTTGAGATCTCTCTGCAAGGCCTGCCTACCTGTATTTATTTGGCCACTATTTAATTCAAAAGTGGTTTTGTCTTGTATACATGTAAAAGAAAACATCTAGCAAGCTGTTTTCAGAATCTTTTTTTAATTCCTGAACTATTTTGTATTCTACAAATCCAGTACTTTTCATAGGTGATGATGGTTTTGGTTTATGGCATTCAGGAAGGGTTTTTCTGAAGAAAACCAGGACTGTGGCAGGATGAAGGAATCCATGAGAAGGAAAGCTAATCAGCTTTACTGCATTTGAAGT